TATGTGGTGCTGAGGATCGAACCTGGGCCGCACTCATGCCAGGCGAGCGCGCTACCACTTGAGCCACATCCCCAGCCCCATCCAGCTCTTCTACATGGATGTGACATAAACAAAATCACAATATGCTTCAATAGAAAATGAAATAGATATTAAAAGTACTGGCATATTCAACAGGGAATACACATAAAATTGCTTCGAAAATCTAGTATGGTAGGTCTGTTTAGGATAAAATACAAAGCTAACAGGGACCTGCCTGCTTCAGGTGCAGGAGGCATATTATACATTAAAACAGAGAACTATGCAAATAATTTTTTGTACTAAACGGCCTTTAGGACATACAGCAGGAATTCTTGTATCTGAACTTCTTGATGTCCATGACCCACTTGAATTATAGCAAATTTTATAATTATATGCAAATTTTTATTTAGCCTTCTTTAAATTCACAAAAGCATTGAAAAAAAAGGAGTTCTGTTATTTTATTCCTATGTGGTAGCAACTTCTGACTCTAGGGGGGAACCAAAAATTGAACTCAGGGGCACTTGACCACTGAGCCACTTCCCTTTTTTTTTTTTTTTTTTTGTATTTTAGAGTTTTAGAGACAGGGTTTCATTGAGTTGCTTAGCAACTCTTTTTTGCTGAGGTTAGCTTTGAATTCATAATCCTCCTGCGTCAGCATCCTGAGCCATCTAGATTATAGGTGTGGGCCACCAAGCTGACTTGCTTATTCTTGTCTATTCAAACATGTTTAAGTAGTTTAGCTCATCTTCTCAGCACTTAGAAAATATACTAAACTCTTCTTCCTTCTAAAATAGTTTCATACATGAGTTTGTAGAAAACAGTACAATACACAATGGAAGGGAAAATTTTTTTCCTTTGTTTTTAGTGTTGGGGATTGAACCCAGGGACTTTTGCATGCTAAGCACAGGTATTACTAGTGAGCCACAGCCCAGGTCACTTGGACGACAATTTTCAACTCCATAACACATGCCACAGCTTGAGATACTCAAATGATTCTAAAATTGTGGAACTCTTTTTTCTGGGCCCCAAAGAATTCATAAGTAAAGAAATAGTATTATATCATCAAATATAAGCAGGGAAAGGTCTGCATTCTACCAATTCACAACAGTTAACATGAAACCATCAATGCCAGACTCTGGTGCCCTTTCGATACCTCTGTTGCTTTGCTCTTAGTGAGCTGGGATGACGTGCCACCCTCACTCTCATCTGCTGTACTCTCCTGGGAATTCTGGGATATAATCTCTTCACCCTAAATATGAAAGGACAGAGACAAATGGTGGATTATAATGATTACATTAGGGTTCGTAGGAGGAGAAAGGCTGAGCAATACAAAGATGTTCTAAGTCATTCAAAATACCAACACCAACTTGTGTTACAGCATCTAGGGAAGGAATACTCAACCCCAGGTTTCTGGGATGCCTGTGGCTCTGATATAATATGTATTTCTACAAAAAAGAATTCATCTTTGTATTCTAGTACCACAGTAGATTTACAAGGCAAGAATGTATTAGTGACTTTTGGTTATCGTTGAATACAGATCTAGTTTCCCCAGTATTTTTTTTTCTTTTTTTTTTTTT